GGGCTTGGGGTCTCAAAACCAGAAACTGGGCCAGTCCGCACACCCAGCTGGGAGCTGGGACCTCTCCTGCACTAGGACGTGGCATTTCCTCCGCACAGACCGTGCTGGGGCTGAGCGGAGGGCAGAGCCGGAACAGCGTCGTTATGTTTAATATGAAATAATCGCTGTGCCTCAGGTAGTGCCCACGTGCCGCTCAGTGCCGTGGCACCGGGGTGCTGCGGGCCCCGGCGCCCGTCTCCCAGCCAGCCCACCGTGACCACTGCTTCCCCGTCCCACCGCCCCGGGGTTGCACGGCCCGCTCTCGGCGCCTCTCCCCAGTGATGCTCCGTGCCCCGCCAGCCCTCGGTGGGTGGAAATGATCACCTCTGGTGAGCTGCTCCAGAACCACCAAGGAACCGGAGCTGCCCTCCCCCGCGGCTGTGCCAGCTCCCGCCGGGAGGACCGTCCCCAGCACGGGCTTCACCAGCACCAGGCACAGGCCCCAGTGAGCTGTGCGGGTCTCCCAAAGCGGACCCATGCTGGTGCCGGAGCCGCTTCCCCATCAGCCACCTCGTGCTGTTCACCCCCCTGGAGCACCTTTCCTCTGGCACAGGCTGCCCCGTGCGCGGGGCTGGCACCAGAGGTGACACGGGTGACACAGTGCTGGGGTGCCCATGGGGACAGCCCATGCTGGAAGCACTTTTTCTGTGTCCCAGCACAGACACGTCACCCTCCTGGCAGCGTGGGCATCGCTGTCACGGCCTCTCGCAGCGGCACGAGCGCCGGCTGTGCCAGCGCTCACCACGACACGCTCGTGGGTCTGGGGGAGTGGGGGGGGCCGAGCAGAGCTCCGGCAGACCTCCACGGAGCGCTGCTTCAGCAGAGATTAAACGGGAATAATTTCTATTTATTGTAATATTTATCAAGGGTTAGTAAATAATTGATGCTGATCCCTCCTTGATTTCCTTGGGGTCCAGTGTGTGATTCTGGTGAATTAAAGTTTAACGACGCGTGACAAGCTGGGAGGAGGCGGGGCGGGCGGACGCTGGGCTCGACCTGTGCTGCCCTGGCA